TTAATATAATATAATTTACTTGTTTAGAGCAAGACATTTATTATTAGAATGTAAGATTAAATAATGTCTACCCTGAATGCGTAGGACTGCCAGTAGACTGTTATTTCAAGACAGAAAAGCCGGATTCTAAAACCTAGAGACTCTGCACTCTGACTCACAATATACCAAAAGCTTTGGATAGATCTGTGAGGAGTGACCTCTGTTCCTGTGGCTGGAGATCCAACTGGTAAAAAGAACGAGGTTTTCTTTACCTAAGGTTACCAAGGCCCATAAATGTTACTAGGCTATGGGTCAGTAGTCATTGGAGAGATAAAGTATCTTAAAAGTCTTAAGGAGAGGCTAAAACATACTTGGAGTTGCAAGAGGGAACTTTTTGTAATGTAGAAAGAATAATAGGCCACAACTCCTTAAACACTTTCTATCTCAAGTGAAGTGTCTAAGAATTCAGAAATAGAATTTACAGTTGAGATCAAGTATGTCTCTTAGATGGAAAAGAATGACGTTAGGACTAATGCAGCATGCAAAGGCAAGTGTGCGGCTGGCCATTGATGTGGAAATGATTATTTTCGTGTTTTCTGTGGAAGAACATACTCTCTTTATCCAAGATAACATATCAAGTTGTCAGTGCTTGTATGTGCTAATATTGCTATCACTAGCTCCTCAGACCATGTCTTAAAATCTTTTATTTCTACCTGCAATAGTCCATTTCCCTGTCAACAGAATGAATTCTATTAGTTTTGATGTTATTTTCTTAATTAAATAGAACTTGAGTTTGTCAGAATACTATGTACAGTTTCATTTGATGATTTTTCATTAATTCAAATCACACATAGATAAAGACAAAGAACTACAAGACCTATTTAAACTAAATTCTCTGCACAGAGTGGGTGAATTGGCTAAGGAGCGCCAATCCTAGCTGAGGAGCTATTGGCAGCTGACAGCTGCTGGGAGGAAAAGCCAGTTTCCTTTAAGAGTGGGACTATTGGGCAGGATGACCAGACCCCAGTGGATGGGGGACATTTGGGGACACAAATTAGCTTGATAGTCCTTAAAAACATAGAGAACATGAAATCAGGTGGGGGTGGAAGAGGTACAGATGGGGACGGGGTTCTGAATATTATCAAATTTCACGGTGTGAAGCTCTCAAGAATTCAATGATCATTTTTGAAAATATTTTTATGCATTATGTATGTATATGAACATATTGCCTGCATGTATGTAAGAGCACCTATGTCATGCAATGTCTGTGGAGGTCAGAAGATGGCATTGGATCCCTTGGAACTGGAGTTACGGATAGTTGATAGCCACCATGTGGATTGTGAGAATCAAACCCAGGTCCTCTGCAAGAGCATTCAATGCTCTTAATTACTGAGCCATTTCTCAAGGTCCCTCGATAACAATTTTAAAATTAGAACTAGCTCTTTACGACTAAATTTCTTAAAATACTGTATGACTGAAGTTTATAGATTACAGGTTGTGCATGAGGACCATGATGTATTGTAGATAAATTATCACTGCATTTCAATTTCTGAAATAATTTTCTTGAGAGTTTCGCTACACAAAAACATATGCTGTCATTTAAATTAGAATCATACTCTTGTTCACTGCATGAATTATTTTATCATTTTGTCATGGAATGTTTATAAAGTCAGGCAGAAGCTTGGCTGTAAGGTAGTTTCGTTCTCTGTCCCAATGTTTGGCTGTAAACCTTACTGTATTTCTCCTTGTTGTGAACAACTATAAGTGCTTTTGTCGACAGAACTACTGTTTTCAACAGGTCAGTAAAACCCCACCTGCTTAAAAAATCCCTTTCATCTATATGAACTACTTCACATAAAACAAAAACCTGAAATCCTATTAGCAAATAAGGGACTATGAAATGGTAAGAAATGTTATGTCTCTATAATACATCTTCACTGGTCACTTTATTCTGTGAGGCAAATAGAACCTGTTGAATACCAAAGCAAAGACACTTTGGATGAATTGAGCACAGCACCAACATATATTACATGTTTACAGCCTCAGAGTATCGTGTCAGATAATGACAAGGAGCACTATATGGAACACAATAAAGGGAAGTCCGGAAAGCCAAAGTGAATGGCTGCAACAAACCGTGCTGTCCACAGAGGGAAGAAAACGTTTTCTTCTCCTTCTTAAATATTTAAAAAAATATTTTATTTACTATTTTTATTTTGTGTACATAACTGTATTGCCTGCATGCGTATAAATACAACCATGTTAGTGCCCATGGAGGTCAGAAAACGGTGTTGGATCCCCTGGACCTGCAGTTAAGAACAGTTGTTAGTCACCATGTGGGTTCTGGGAATCAAATCCCAGCCCTCTGTCAGTGCAGCCAGTGCTCTAAACCCCTGAGCCATCTCTCTAACCCCAATGCAGGAATATTTAAACGTTCGCTCAACAACTAGACATACAAGAATCTTGTACTAATACTCATAGATTTTCTAGATTATTTTGGAAATTCCATGTACACAATTTTCATGTAGAACTTATGACAACTTAATAATGAGAGGGGCCTCAAGTTTGTACTTTCTGTTTTTTGTACTATACAGAACAGTTTGTCCAGATCTATAAAGGTAGGACTAAGAAATGTTTGTCTTTTTGTGTGTATAAATTTTTATTGAATTTTTGTGTATTTCATACAGAATGTCTCAATCATCTTTATACCCCCTTTCCTATTGGCAACTTCCCCTAAACCCCACATTGGAATTCATATATTTGGGCATTTGTGTTAAGGCCTATTGTGTCGTTAGGGTCCCCAGACATCCTTCAGTACAAGTTCATCCACTGAGGTCTAGTCAGCCTATCTAGGGTCCCCCCCTCTTTAAGAAGATCAGCTCTTCTTCACCCAGAACCAATCAGCTGCCAATAATTCTTTGACTAAGATTGGGGCCTGTGATTCATTTCCACCGTTCTGTGCTGGGGTTTGTCTACTTGAGTTTGTATGGGTCCTCGCATGCTAACACAATTGCTGTATGAACAAGTTCCCAAGAGCCTGTAGGACTCTGTTTCCATATGTCATGCACCTTCTCCCATGAGTCTTACAATCTTTCTACCCCCTCTTCCACAGTGGTCCCTGAGCCCTGGGTGGGTGAAGTTTATTATAGGAGTCCAGTCCAAGGACCCACACTTTATAGAGTTTTATTCTCTATGCTTTCGCCATCTGTGACCTTTTGTGTTCCTGATCCTCTGTTGCATGAGGGAGCTTCAATGATGAGAGCTGAGAGATGCATTAGTATTCTCGACTCCTTGTTTTATGTTTCATGAGCCTTAGGTGTAGAGGTTGAATTGTAGATGTGCCACTTAGCCTTGGGCAATTCATACACACTCTCTGTGTGACAAGTTGTGCAACTGTAATAATCTCCATCTGTGTCAAAAGAAACATCTTTGGGGGCTGAAGAGATAGCTCAGTGGTTAAGAACAACTGGTTGTTCTTCACAGAAGACCCAGGTTTGAATCCCAGCACCAACATAGCAGCTAACAACTGTCCATAACTCCAGTTCTAGGGGATCCGAGAGCTCCTCTGTCCTGCACAGGCATTACATGGCATGGGTGGACTTACCTACATGCAGGCATAACACACATACACATAAAATTAAAATAATAAATAAAATATATTTTAAAAAGCAAAATTTTTTTAAAAAATTAAAAAAGAAGCTTCTTTGATGAATGGTGAATGAGATACTTCTCTGTTAATATAAGGACCCATGTTTTGCACCTAGTAAGAAATTACATTTGTCTAGGGATGTGACAGCCTTGGGTTTTTCTCTAAGATCTGTGACCCCTCTAGCAATGTGCATTTGGCTAGATTTACAGTACCACACATGGGTTTTAAGTCCTATTGAGTGGATTTGAAGTCCAATTAGGTAGCTGTTCATTACCCCCAATATAAAAGTGTCACTATTGCACCAATATTATTTGCTGTGTTAGTCATTGAGATTTGAGGTGGTTATTAGACCTTAAATCCGGGGTTGGACCATCAACTAAAGTTCTTCCTTAACAGCTTACATAATGCTCTCCAAAGCTGAGAGCTATCCTTTAGGGGAAGTAGCTTCCAGGTCAGTCCCAGTTCCATTGCTTCAAATCCTGTGTCCAAAGTACATTCTCTCTTCAGCAATAGAGTCTTACCTTCAAGTCTGGAAGGCAATCAAGGACTGTGGCAATAGTCTGTGTTATTTTGGGAGTCTCTTGGACTGCCCTGGCCATCAACTCAAAAGAAGATTTCTCCTGTCTGGCACTGTTTCTTGTTATGTAGCCTTCATCTATACAGATATTGTATGTGTAATTTGTCATAATAAAATTCCCTCTGTTTTTTTCTTATATTAGCTAGGCATTATTTATATCTTCTAATTTTGGAGAGAAAAGTTAGTACTTGATTTATAGTTATCAAGTTAAATGTTTTTTAATCGTAATTTATTCTTTGATTTTTAAAATTTATTTTTATTATTTTTATTTTAATGCTTTATTACATTTAAAATTTTATTTGTGTGTGTCTATGTATGAGGGGTCATCCATGCCACAGTGTGCATTACAGGTCAGGGGACAATGTGTGGGGAGGGGTCACTTCTCTCCTTTTACGATGTGAGTCCCAGGGATAAAAATCAGATAATCAGGGGTGGCCTCAAGTGCCTTTATCCACTGAGTCATCTCACTAGCTTCTAAAATGATATTCATGTCAAACTATAAATTACTTTCTTCTTTTATTTCAATAAGAATTCAAATATACACCAATCTTTTTTATCTTCAAGGCACAGTATTTTTGTGAAGATTGATGATTATTTTATTATAAAAAATATTATTTTAATATGAAACACTTTCAGGTAAACCTGTGTATATAGACTGTACATATAAACTATACATGATGGGGGGTGAGGCTGGAGAGATGGCTTAGCAGTCAAGAACACTGGCTGCTCTTGCAGAGGACCAGGGTTTGGTATCCAGCACCCACATGATGACTAACCACCATCTGTAACTCCAATTCCAGGGGATCTGATGCTCTCTTCTGACCTCTGTGGGCATTACATGAAATGGATGCACCTACATATATGCAGGCAATACACTCACACATAAAATAATAATAATAATAATAATAATAATAATTTTAAACAATTAAACTGATAAGAACAGACACTTCACTTGATCTTAACCAAAAGGCCGTGAAGCAGTCAAGGAGACCACGGAGACCCCACCAGATGGACTTGAACCAGTGTCCAGTCTACAAAGAGGAGTGTCAACAGAGAGGAATCATTTCCTCCATGCTTCCAAGCAGGACCTTTGACTTATCTTCACATAGACAGAACTGGTAAAAGAAAGGAGCCAGGGGCTTCTCCCAAGCCCATGTTACCCTTGAGGAACAGATCCTGAAATGACCTTAAGAGTAAAAATAAATTGATTTATCTGGGCCAATTGTAGGGTCTTAAACACCCAAAAGGAGAGTATAAACAAAGATTAATAGGGGTCAATATACTTTTTTAAGAGTCCATATGTATAGCTAAAGGCTACATAACAAGAAACAATGTCAGATAGGAGATACCTTCTTTTGAGTTGTTGTCCAGGGTGGCCCAGAAGACTCCCAGACAGTAACCCAGCATAGAACTGGGAAAATGAACAGCAGACCCCAATCTTATCTAAAGGAATATTGACAACTGATTGCTACTAGATGAGGAACAGCTGATCTTCCTAAAGCAAGGATCTCTAGATAGGCTGACTAGATTCAGCAGACAGACAAGCACTGGGGAATGGCTGGGGGTATCGACAACACAGTGGACAGTAACAGCAATGACAGAGTATATGGGCTCCATTGTGTGAGTGGGGAAAGGCTATGGGAGGGTGCCATTTGGGAAGTGGGTGTATAGATGAATAAGATTGTGTGGGATGTTCTGTACGATATACACTAAATAAAAATCAACAAATTAAAAAAACATATTTGAGGAGGAAGCATAAAAATTTACTTCATGTTAAATAGTAGAGATGATAAACATTAACAGTGAAATCTACCTGATGACTTTATATTCATACTCAGGTACTAAGGATCTGGTATAACTGACTGTGACTAGTAATAATCAGATACATAGAGATTAAAGACATATGTACAAACATCTAAGTGTTAGTAGCATTTAAAATGTAGAAAAGAGCATATTTTAAAATGAAAGGGAGATCTTCTTTAAAGGGTAAAAACTCATTCTATTTTATGTCTTACATGGTCTATACTGAGTTCATCATTGTATAACTGTAATAATTCAACTGTGAACCTAATAATTTATGGCCACTTTTGAAAGAGATGTATCTTTGCTCCCTTGCTCTGGAGTGTGTTACTGAATATGTTAAAGCTGTAGTGAATTGCTTCTTCTAATCATGTGGTTATCAAATTTTTAAAAATGTTTTAAAATTAAAAAAAATAATTCTTCAAAGCATAAAAATTTGCTCCTTATTAATTAGTCTTTGTGAAAAACATTATCGTTGAAATCTACCTGATGACTTTATATCCATGCTTAGGTGCCAAGGATCTCAGAAAGTAACTGACTGTTTAGGCCTGATCAAAATTCAGTTTGACCTGAAGACCTGAAGCTTGGCAGAGGATACCAGATATGTTATATTCTTGTGGCTTGTCAAGGCTATCGTTCATGCTCCTTCCCCATGGCTGGTAGTCAATGACGGATAAGATCTTCTGGGAGAAAGTCAACCTAAGACAGGGTGTAGCTGCTTTGAAGCTGGGTGCTGATGACAGGTGAGGCTTTGCTTTTGCAGAAGACACCCTAAGACAGGCACGGTCTTTATTCTGTGGTTATAATAAATAAGAAAGGGGGAAATGTTGGGAGCTGTTACTATTATGAGTACAGCCATTGCTGCATTAGGTTGTGGCAGCTTGCCTTGACTTAAGCATTGGACAAAGACTGCTTCCACCCTGGGAGTTTCCCTGCTGTTTGCTTCTGTGGTCGGAGTTGACAGGCTATGCTTCCCTGATTAATTGGCAGTCTTGGAAACATAACCAAAGAGTTCTGTTTCAGCTTATGGGCACTGGAGTTTCTCAGCACTGATAGCTTGGTTTCTAGGTAGAAATAATGATTTATAGTAGTTGCTAAGAGTAATCATAAACAGTACACCTTATGTCTAAGATATTATAGATATTTTGCAGCTGAATCTTGGATACTGTAAGTATCATGTGAGTTTCAGATGGTGAGGTAATGTATTCTTGGTAGTAACGTACTGTATCCTTGGTTATTCACTGGTTACTTTCTGTTTAGTTATGTATCCTTAGTTATTCCTTGGTTACTCCAGATCTGATTCCTATATAAGCTTTGTTTGGTTCACAATTATCATGCACTGACACATAAACCTCTGCATCTTCAGTGTCTTGATTTCTATTTGTCGGGGTCCCCAAGCCCACTAGGCTTGGTTTGTGGTCACTGCACCATGACAACCGACTGTGACCAGTAATAATCAGATATATAGAGATTAGAAATGCATGTGCAAACATCTAAGTGTTCATTGCATTAAAATGAATTTTTCTGTATGAAAATGTGTATTTTAATAATGAAATGGAGATCTTATTTGGGGGGGGGTCTTTTTGAGACAGGGTCTACCTTTAGCCCCAGCTGGCCTGGATTCGTTATGGAGACCAGGCTGGCCTCAACTCACAGAGATCCTCCTGCCTCTGCCTCCCTAGTGCTGGGATTAAAGGTGTGCACCACCATGCCCAGTGAAATGGAGATCTTTTTTAAAGGTTAAAACCTCATTTAATTTTATGTCTTATAGGGTTTATACTGAGTACAATATTGTATAACTCTATTAAATCAACTGTAAACCTAAAAATTTGCAGCCAATTTTGAAGGGGAAGCATCTTAGCTCTGGAAATTGCTCTTGAATATGTCAATGCTGTTGTAATGAAATGCCTCTTCTAATCATTGGTTTGTGAAATAAATAATTTTTTTA